GAAAACCCCCCCCCCCCCCCCCCCTTTCCCCCCCCCCCCCCCCCCCCCCCCCCCCCCCCCCCCCCCCCCCCCCCCCCCCCCCCAAACCCCCCAAACCCCCACCCCAAAAAAAAAAAAAAACTTGCAGATTTGGACACTTAAGGCAAAGCGCAAACATGCGCTGCCTCCCAAAAAAAAAAAGAAAAAAAAAAAAAGGGTCGAAAATAAGTCGCCTGGGTGTCCCGGGCAAGTCCGGGCAGACCGTCCGGGCCCGGGAGGCCCGGCCGGGCGGGCCCGCCCGGGCGAGCTTTCGTAGCCTAGGTTCGATCTTTATTATCTAACACCCGACGGGAAAACAATTGTTGAAAACATAACAAGACATTACGAAAACAGAACGATATCCTCGATCTAAACGACGAGTTGTCGTATGATCATATTTAAATGCAACGCAGATATGACTATAATTTTTGATATCTTCGTCCATGTCAACGAGTGTTGGTGGAAAGAGTCGTTCGGGCCGTGCAAGAGAAAAAATCGTTACGTGTTTTTGTTGATGCACCGAGTGAAACAATAAAGATTTTTTGCATTGAAACGATTTTGGTGGGCATCAGGTCACGTTCTGCCATTGCACTGGCGGTCGCGTCCAGTGGCATAGCGACGACTCTTTTGACGGGGGGTCGAACGTTTCACTCACGATTTCGCCCGTCTTTGAAACCTGATAACACGTGTCCCTTCTGGATTCCGAAACAAAGTAATATTGCGGAGCTTATCCGCAGTGCCGACTTGATTGTTTGGGACGAAGCTCCGATGAGTAACAAGTTTCATTTGGAAGCTCTTGACATTACGCTTCGCGATCTTTGTAACAATGACGAACGGTTTGGTGGAAAAATTTTACTTCCCGCTGGGGATTTTAAATAGGTTTTGCCCGTTGTGAAACACGGATCGCGAGCGTAACAAATTGATACGTCCATGAAAATGTCTCCTTTTTGAAAACTTTTTGAGATTCGTGAAGTAATCGAAAATATGTGAATCTTAAGTTTAGGGAATGATAAAATGACACGAAATCATGCCCACTTTTTGATGCGTGTTGGGAATAGTGACAATCCTCGTGTTGTTCCTAATGAACCTGACTCGGTTTTTCTCCCTGTAGGTTCATAAAGTACAAATCTAACAGGAGCGTCAAGCAATCACTGCAGATCATCACGGCGCAGGTGGCACAGATTCTCCTACTATGCTCTGAACCGGAGGGCGCCACAAATGAGATCGCAAAGGTCGTGGCAGCAATGACGGGGAATGGTTTTTCTGCGGAGTCCTATTGGAAGGTGGTCAAGAGGACCCTCCGGATGACGCATATCTACCAACCGGGTAGATTGTCGGTACACGTAATTAGGGAGGCCCTATCCAGTCTATATGGGATTGCTGACTAACGTGTTGTAATTGTGTCTGTGAATGTGTGTTTGTGTGTGTATGGTGTCCGAGGGATGACCTGGCCAAAGGGGTCGGTTGTCCTCCGGGCATCCGACCCCCGCGGCCCTGGTTATCCCTCGGAGGGTATGGGGTGGGACACACACACACACACACACACACAC